TGTGCTGGGCCTTAAGCTGGAGGACCTGATCTGCGTCCAGAGGAACCATCCCCAGAGGTTTCTAGTTGTTACCTTGGCCTCTGAGGAGGCATACCGGAGGGTGCTGGAGCGGAGCAAGTCCGACCACCCGCTCTTGAATATGTACTCGGTTGAGCCCTTGTGGTTTACGGACAAGCGGGTGGTAACGGTGCATGTGTTCAACCCTGTCTGCGGAGGCCGTCTGCCGTTTTCTCACTAAATATGTTGAGGTCTTACCGGGACACAGAGACGTCCGGGATGAGCTGGGTGTGTGGAATGGGGGCCGCCAGTTCCAGGTGCGACTGTGGCTGGATGGAAAGGGGGGATATCTTCATCCCCCAGCCTACTTTTCCATCGGGCCCAACAGGGGGTACCTGTTCTACACTGGACAGCCTACCTTCTGCCGGTCATGCCAGGGCCACGGACACAAGGCGGAGGACTGCCCGGACCTTAAGTGCCGTAACTGCCTTGAGCCCGGGCACATGGCTAAGGACTGTAAGGGCCCCCAACGTTGTCGCCACTGCAGCAGTGAGGAGCACCTGGCCCGTGTCTGCCCCCAGCGCTCCTATGCGGGTGTTCTGGCAGGTGGTGGGCAGGTGAGGCAAGTGTTGGATCGGGAACTGTTCCCTGCCCCAAAGCCAGCGGGGCCTCAGGAGATGTCAGTGGGGGCCCAGGAAGAAGCGGCCAGGTCCCCAGTGAAGACCCCGGTGGGGGCTGAGGGGTCCCGGGCTCAGGCTGGGCAGTCCCCGCAGGCCCGGGCCGGGGTCACCAAAAGGAAGAAGAAGGGTGACCCCAAGGACAAGACCAAGAAGACGAGGAAGGAAGCAGAGGAGCCAACAGGTACCCCCAAGGAGGCGGCGCCCCCAGCTGAGGCCCCTGTACAGGTCGTATCGCCCCCCCACCCCCAAAACGGAAGACATAAGTTGGAATCTGTCAATGTTGTCCCCAGCCCTTCCCCAGGAGGACATTACTTTTTCGGGCCTGGAGGGGTCACCGAACGACCAGGCCTACCTGGAGGACTCAATGCTGGGGAAAATTCTGGGCATGAGCGGGGAGGGGGAACAGGGGTCTTAATAGCTGGTTTTATAGTTTTTAATTTTTTATGGTTTTAATTTCTTATTGTTTTATTCTTATTTTAATCCTCCCATGGCTGATTTAAAAATTTTTACTGTTAATGCCAGAGGGTTGAGGAACCCAGTCAAAAGGGCCGCGGTCTTTGATGAACTGACATCCTCCCCTTTCAATCTCTGTTTCCTGCAGGAAGTCCACCTCAGGGACCAGCGGGACGTGACTCTTTTCTCACAAGCGTGGAAGAGGGGTAAGTCCTGCTGGAGCGTTGGTGGTGTCCACTCTTCAGGCGTCGGCATCCTTCTTGGTGACCAGGGGCCTTTGAGAATGTGAGTACCTTCACTGTAGTGCAGGGAAGGGTTTTGGGAGTGGACGCCACCTGGAGAGGTCAGCACATCCGGGCGATG